ACTGTTAGCATAAGACTTACGGTTACATGTATCCATTTCAACTATAAAATGATGAGACCTTGCTGCCAATCAAGTAGTAACTAATAGATTGATAGAAGAAAACATTTAGAAAGAAAAAGAAAAAAGGGAAATAATTGAATGTAGGGTAAAAGTAAGGAATGAAAAACAAAGTCGTGAAATAGACGATTTAGAATAACGAAATTAGAAATATAAGTTGGTCATGAAATTCATTTCAGAATAGGAGTTCAATCTCGAATCGCATCTGTATTTCATATTTCAATTTGTTTTTTCGTTCGATTCCTGCTTTTGTCTTAAGGGGAAAAAATCATGCCAAACTGTTTGAGATGATTCGTAAATTTTGAATGATATCTCGTCTATTGGTGCGTTGTTAAGATAAATTAAGAAGCTGATTCTTTGACGTTCTACTGATCATGAAGTGTTTGTGACAGTGGCTAAATTTAGATTTCACAAAAACTTTCCTATTATCCTGCTTGGCTGCACATCTAATCCTTACCCAGGAAGTATATGAACAATTAATAGGTCAGTCACGAAGACCAGTCCACCAGTATTGTGAGTTTATCCTTTACTGAATACCATTCTATTTGTATCTTGAACCAGACTAAACACATTTTAGTAAAGAAATAGTAATAGGTGCTTGTATATTGACGGCTTTCAATCTAGTCTTGCAGACCCAATTTCAAATGTAATGAATTCCATCATCATTTAAACTGTTCGCTCTCATGATCATATGTCAGGCAGAGCTTAAGTTTACCTTTCGAATAAATGGGTACCAAGTAAGAGATGGATTCTTTCAATTTCCAAAAATTTAATAAACATGGAACTTTCAAATAAAATAATGTACAATCAAAATTAATAAGCATTCGTTTTTTGGGTTTTTTTGTTTTTTGTGATATGTATTTTAATAAATGGGTGTGGATCAAATAGGATGCGGTTGGGAGCTCTTAGTTTTAAACATTTTAATTTAGAGGCAAAATTAGTTCAATAGATATCTACCAGAAATGCTACATGGGCTTACAGCAGATTGATTTTCACTTTCTTAGAACATCAACATTGCACTCGATGTGAAAGCTGGGGTTTCATATAGTAAGTACCGAAAGCAAACATAACATTCATAGCTTCTACCAAATTTTGAGAATTCAATTTTAAAACTTTCTGAAAATATCTAGAGAAATACCTAATTTCTGTAGGTTTTTAACTTACAAACTGACTTCAAAATTTTACTATTTCAAGAATAAACCCAAATAAAATTGATATCTTTTGTATTAGATACATTGAATGAAAAATATATTCAAATCAGATTTTTAATTATGAATCACCACAAGCAAAATATGAATTTTTTTACTGTATTTGACAAATGAAACTGTGTAAAATAAATTGTAAAATATTTCAAAAACGATACTCAATCAATAAGATTTGTTAGATCATTTGTTAAATACTAATTAATAAAAACAAAAATATATAAAGGGTATATAACAGCATATTAATGCGGGGTACAATTATTAGACAAAATGTGTTTAATTTGCATTGTTTATTGAAAATCAAACTAAAACTACTGTACTGTATAACATATTACATCATAATATTGCTAAATTGTTCAGTATAATTTCCCTTTGAAATAAATGAAGGTCTTATTTGATGTCACAATGATTTAGTAATAATGTGCATGTGCCATTCATCTTGTCCATATACAAATTGTAAAGCTTCAGTAAATTATAAATCTTATAAAGCTGTGTTATAAGGCTTTCACTGATCACCGGAAATAAATTCTCACGGTACGAATTTGTACCTAAATTTAATCTTTAAATTCGTTCCCTCAAAAAACGGTAACGATTTGAAAAAAAATTTTTTGTGTCTTTATTTATCATGTCAAAACCCAATTTTCAAATTGAGTGCAATATCACAGTTCCAAAATCGACTAATGTGGAATGACACCATGTTTGTCATGCGGATCTCTTGTTCGTGGAGCTAGATTGATCACTGTATTCATTATTTGTTTTTTTTTTGTAATCGGACACTAGATTAATGTAAATAAATTTCGTGGGGTAAGACGATAAACTACATCCAACAGCAAGACCTCTTATCTTTGAGGAGCGTGGAACCACCTCTTTATTGCTGGTATTCATAAGTCTACCCTGACTCGGGTTGGTAGCACCTGTTAGGGTCCCAGATATGGGTAAATAGTTAACCCCCAAACTGGGATAAAAACACTATGAAAGTGTAAAAATAGGTTTTAATACCAGCAATACGCTTTTGTAAAAAAATTACCAGCAATAAAATTTTTAAAGATTTTTCGAAAAAATATTAACAGCAATAGATTTTTTGGAAAAAAATATTACCAAAAATTTTGGAAGAAAAATATTACCAGCAATACATTTTTGAAGAAAAAATGATACCAGAAATAAAAATCTCGTCGGCATTAAATAACCCATTGAGGTTGATATGCCGTCAAACAAAGCAAACTTAACCAAAAGCAAATAAATTTATATCGATGCTGTACTTCTAGTTCTTCATGTTGCTGGTAATAAGAAAAGAACAAGCACAAATACGCTTGTTTTATGGTGAGTTTGTAAGCGTAACTTAGATTTGGCACAAGACAGAAAGTGTTGAGCGCCGAGTGAGGATCAAATTCAATACTCAGTCATAATTGATATAGTGCGACAAGCTTGCTAACCATTACACCATGCCAAAATTCCCAATACGTTTGTTTTTATGGTTGAATGAAAATAATTACTGACTCGCTGTCAGGCATTGATTAATGTACTTGTCATGTAAGGGAATACTGAGTTCCAATATATCTTGATGTTCCATAAATCTGTTTCATTCCAGAGTTGATTAATAGAAAAAAGTCTCCATCAAAAATGTATTACCTGATAAAAATGTAAACAAATTTATCATAATTAATTTTTTGGTAGGTTTTTCTTTCGTTATATTATCAATTACTGTTTATCGAAGATTCTTCTTTATGTGACGTGTTCCCTAAAGACGTAGGCGATCATGGTTTTCCATAACTTCCTTTCCCTTGTAGCTCTTAACAAACTGTCTTTCTGTTATTTCTTCTAAGCCCTGTTCCACCATCCATTTACTCAAGTTCACCAAGTACGTTATGCGTTGCTTTTCTCTGTACGTCTTGCCCTCTATTTGCCCCGTGAGTATCAGATTTTCCAAGTCCTCCTTCCTCATTATATGCCCCAGAAACCACAACTGACTCTTCCTAATGTTAAATATTAGTTTTCTTTTTGTTTCGATTTTCTACAAAACTTCGTCGTTACCCACATGCTCGGTCCACGGTATCCTCAGCATCCGCCTGTAGAACCACATTTCTGTTGCTTCAAGTCACCTTCACCTTTGAGGTGATCTCAGACTATTATTCTACAGTCATCACGGGGTTGTATACTTAAATACTTTTTCTTTGTCTAGCCAGAAGCACATCTTGTAGCTCATTGATAAGAGCAACTGTTATGGTGTCATACGCTTTCTGATGCGATGGAGTTCAAATCTCAGCGAAAGTTTATTCTATATTACCGATACGAGCTCTCCGCCGATATTTCTATAACAACTGTCTGAGTACTCTATATACTCGTGTATATATACCTATCTCATGTATAGTGCGACCCCTGAATTCTTTTGTCAAAAACCTTATGTTTTCATATAACTCGTATTATCTCAAATTTGCATTTCTCTTCGTTTCGCAAGTTTTTACGTTGCTGGAGTATTGCCTTTCCAATGAAAACCTTTTTGTCAGCATTAGCGATACATAATGTCCCACGAGTTGGGGTACTTATTTCGGGTTATGATAATTCACGTCATTCAAAGTAAAAAGTACTCTATACACATATGTTTTTTTTTTTTTTTGCTTTATTTTGCTCCGAATTCAGGTTGTTTACAAGTGTGCAGCGGTGTGTTTAACCTCTCCACAAAAAATTACCTGTGTATAGTGCAACCATCTAAATTTTGCGTAAAAATATTATCATAAAATTTCACCCTATACTCGGGTTTATACGATAGTTGAGACGAGAAGCGACTGAAATTAAAATGAAACAAATAGTAGTAAATTATCTTTTTACTCCAAGCAAGGCAATAAAGCTACTAAGACGCAAGGAATTACTGAGTGCGAAAGAATATGAAAAAAAACATTATTAAGGAAAGATAACAGGAACTGTTTAAATGGACGACTTACAGTGCTTCATCTAAAAGAAGTTCAGTATTGTTATCAACAACATCCCACCGTAAATGAAAAACACATACAGAATTAAAACACTAGTCGAATATTTACAAACTTTATTAAAACGCAAATGCATCGGATCCCCGCGAAATAATAAAGCCCTAGTCAGCTTTAAACTGTACGACTTTTGGGGCCCTGTTCCAGGTTGACTATTACTGTACATGCGGCCTCAGCAGACGACTTTACGAGACATGTATAGAGACAGAAGTTGGTAGATGAACTCTATTGACCCTCAGCTATAGAATTGAAGGTAAATGCCAGTTTTACTATAGGATAATTATCGAACTGTAAGAAATCAAGAGATCATCTTTCTTCATTTCATCTTCGCGATATCATCATTATTGATCTGATTCATCTGATATAAGTCCATGTTTTGATAGATGGCCAACAATTCACAATGCCACGTAACACTTGAAGGAACTGAAAAGATGTGTCTGAAAGACTCTCAAAGGACATGCACCGCAAATTCATTGATTTATGACATTCTGTCCAGTGATTCAAATTCAGTGTTAAATCTTTTAACCATGGTTGGAAGAGGAAATATTGAAAGCAGACTTGGTATTTATGGAATATTTGCGTACCATGGTGATCATTAATAATCGTCTAAAGAGGCTGGGCATTTTAAAGCCTTAACATACTAAGTTGAAACTGTGCAAAAGTAATTTGAATAATAACAATAAGATGAAAGAAATAGACTAAAAGTAAGAGAAAGAGAAAACGAAAAGGAGGAAGAGCAAGAAGAACGGAAATGAAAAAATTAAAGGTGAAAAGGGTTAAAGAAAAGAAGAGTATTTTGGAAAAGAATTGGGTTGATGCCAGTAAGTGGCCTGTTCTTTGGCATTCTACTGACAACAAAGAAGGTAACATAATACCGAGGAAGAAAATAAAAACTGGAAAAGAGAAAGAGTAAAATAGAAAAGAAAATTAAAGCGAGAAGAGAAGAGGAGAAAGGAAAAGAAAGACAGGAAGAGAAAAGGAGTAAGGAGAAGAAAAGCGGAAAAAGAAGAGGAAAAAGAAGAAGAAAAAAGGAAAAAGAATAGATGAAAGGAAAAGAAAGGTAGAGAGAGAAGAGCAGAGAGGGGAAGAAAGGCAGGGAAAGAAGAGGAGAAAGGAAAAGAAAAGCGAAAAAAGAAGAGAAGGAAGGAAAAGAAAGGCAGAGAGAGGAGAGGAGAAAGAAGAAGAAAAACGAAAAAAGAAGAAGGTATAGAGAAAGAAAGGCAGGGAGAGAGGAGGAGAAAGGAAAGAAAAGCGGTAAAAGAAGAGGAGAAAGGAAAAGACAGACAGAGAGAGAAGAGGAAAAAGGAGAAGGAACGCGGAAAAAGATGAGGCGAAAAGAAAAGAAAGGCAAGGAGAGAAGATGACAAAAGGTAAATGAAAAGCAGAAAAAGAAGACGAGAAAAGAAAAGAAAGGCAGTGAGACGAGTAGAATGCGGAAGAAAAGCAGAAAAAAAGAGGAGAAAGAAAAAGAAAGGCAGAGAGAAAAGAGGAGAAAGAAGAAAAGCGAAAAAAAAGAAGAGGAGAAAGGAAAAGAAACGCAGAGACAGAAGAGAAGAAACGTGGAAAAACAAGAGGAGAAAAGGAAAATAATGCAGAGAGAGAAGAAGAGAAAAGAAAAAAAGGGTGAAAGGAAAAAAGCAGCAAAATAAGAAATGCTGAGAAAGAAACGAAAACCAGATAAAGATAAGAAAGAAAAGCGGGGATAGAAAGGAAGGGAGGTAAGAAGAAGAAACGAAAGAAAGATGGTGGTGGTGGTGGTGTTGGTATTACTTTAGCAGCATATCAACCTCTATAGGTTATTTAATGCTGAAATCTAAATATTTTGAACACAATTTTATGACTTTAACTCAATAAAATCTGAACGTATTTGTATGGCTTCAACTACAGATAAAATGTATTGTTCGTCATTTTGCCATAAATATGTATTGTTGGCATAAATAAATATAAAAATATATAACTGGTATTTTTACTATAAAGATTTTTATACTTTCATAGTGTTTTGTTTGGGGGTTCACTGTTTGCTTATAGCTGGGACCTGGGATCGGATCAGGGTGGACCTGGGTACAATAGCTATTAAAAACTGGTTTCACGCTCCTCAAAACCTCCAATCTCCTGATCAGAGGTCTTGCTGCCGGATGTACTTTATGGTCAGATCCAGGACTACAAAAAAAAAAAAAAAAAAAGAGCAGGAAATATGATAAGGGGTAAAAAAAAAAAATAAAAAAATGGAGGAACATAAGAATGCAAAGAGAAAAAGATAAAGAATGACGAAAAGAAAGATTTATCCAGCATTTAATTATTTTTTTTCATCATCAAGATCCTTTTGGCTAATATGTTCTTCAGCTTCCAAGTTCAATTGTAGGAACTCGCACCAAATTAAACAATTTGTGTCAAGGGTGTCTGTATTCAAGATGTTAGAGGTAATGCTATATTGTATGACAAACCCCAATACTTATGTGCTACAGGATGCGATGTCAAGTCTCATTCGACTTTAATTCTGCATTCCAAATTTCTTCATCTTAATTTCAAGGGCGAAGAATGTATTGTCGGGAGAAGCAATAAAATCAGGAAAATCTTATTAGTACAACTTTTTGAGTAATGGTAAAACATAATGTCCGAATTAAAAAACAAAAAACAAAACAAAAACACTACTGTAACTACGGGCAGACAGATTGCAGAAAAAAGAAATAAGCAATAAAAACAAATGAAGTCATTCATAAAAAATATGGAATGGGCAATTCGACGTGGTGTAATGGTTAGCGAGCTTGTCTCGCTAGAAAAATTACGGCTGAGTAGTGAGGGGCTCCATACTTTCGGCATTGTGCCACATGTAAACTACGATTAAAAAAATCACCATAAAACAAATGGAATAATGACTTCATCTCAAAACAACAGAGAAGAAGAATTGAGTTGAGCAAGAAGAAACAGGCACAGATTTTTTTAAATTACAAAATTAAAAGACACAAACATATATATATATATATATATATATATATATATATATATATATATATATATATATATATGCAAAGTAAGGAAAATCAAACGGAAACTTTTTTTTTTTGTGGCGCGTTTCATCCTTTAGAATGCATCGAACTAAAGAGATATTTACGTTGATATAACTACACATGCGCACGAAAAAGAGGTGGCGCTGAAATGGTAATCTTTGAAATTTAATCTATCTATCCCTATCTTTCCCTTCTCTCTCTCTCTCTCTCTCTATATATATATATATATATATATATATATGTGTGTGTGTGTGTGTGTGTGTGTTCCCGGAAATCCGGTTGAGCTCTCTAGGGAAAGGGGATTAAACAAAAAAAAAAAAAAAAGCGACTTCTACTGCTATTAAACATTGCTCTTCAAGTATGAATTGAGTTCTCCGAGCCGCCGGCTTGTTTCGTATAGAGAAAGACGTTAAAGCAATCGGACGTCTAGCTACATTAATTTAGTTTCTTTTTGTTTATAGTTTTGACACTTGTTTTATCAAATTTTTTCCACATTGTCATTGATTTTCCTAACATTGTTGTGTGGTATATAAATTTCTGTATCATGTTCTACCATATATAAAGTAAAACAGAAAAGAACATTAGGAAAAAGCCAAAATGTTTTTTTTAATGGAGATGATATATATATGCAAGTAAATATTTTTACAATAAATTGGTATTAACCAAATCAGGATATAGTTATAGATATTGGTATCTGTCTATAGTTCTGAGATTATGTATTGTAATTATGTATTACTTACATTATTTACATTGTTCGGATTGTTGTCATCTTTATTGTCATTTTCACGACGTTTCGGCCGTCTTCAGGTGATTGGAATCTCGAACTGAACCCTTTATTCCGTCCACCATGGTAGAATGTAATACGGAGTGCTACAGAAAAAGCAATAATAACAACAAAATTTCAATATGAGTTCTGTTAAAAAATAAATGATTACTGAGAGATTAAGGTTATAAGTCCCCAAAATTCATACACTGATGTCCTCAAGGACACATGGCCCAGTGAATAAGAGCGTTGGTTGAATCCAGTGACGTGACTAAATGAGTTGCGAGTTTAATATCTGGCTACGGCAGTGGTGAACAAAAAAGAGTTAAGTTAAAAGAAGATAACTGAAACATCCAGAAGAGGCATTCAAATCACGTGAAGAAGGCTGAAGTGTACAATTGCCGAAACGTCGTGAACATGGCACTAAAGATGAGGACAACAGTCTGAACAATGCAAATAGTTAAATTGGTATTATTCTTTCTTTTTTCTTATGCAAATCTAGTATTGCACATCACAATATAAAGAAATATATACTATAGTATAGTCTTTAGTATTTGTTTACTATTTTAGAGGTATATAGAGTTTACCATGGTTTGTAAGAAAGATATTGCCCCATAAGAGAAACGAAATACTATAAATTTATTGAATTATGTTAACACAACAAATAAAATTACGAAAATGTTGAACAGGGATCCCAGAACAATCAAAAAGTAATTGAAAATATTGGCAAAATAGGTGTATGAAAAACCTCGCTTTAACAATTTCACAAAAGAAAAAAGAAATCTGAAGACAAGTGAAACGGTAATAAGCAAGGAATATTGAATGACCAGCAAGAAATTAGTGGAAGGATTTGGTGTTGTAAACGTAAACAGATAAGATACAGAATAAGGATATTAACAAAAGATATGAAAACAAAGAAAATCAACCACCTTTAAGTAAAATCATAAAGAGAAACGTGCAAGTTGAGTGAAAAAGTACATGGAAACTTATTTCTCAACAGTAATTAATAGTGATGAATGTAGAGCTATACTAGATGAAACTGACGTTTGGCTTATGATTCATTCCTTAGTAATTGTCAACAAAGTTAAAATACAACAGTGGGGAAGGGAGGGTAATGTTTTCGACTAATAAAATTATCAGTAAAGTTATACGTCTTTTCAAAGTTGATGATTCTATCAATATAAATGTAGAATTGTAAGTTTGACAAGACATTTTTTGAGTTGCATAGGTGACAACCAAAACAATACAATATGCTTCCATATTCTACAAATCTTACCTTTGGCCACTTTGCTAAAATCGTTTCAAAACACCAAACACATGGAAGAGCGAGCAACAACTCCAATAGAAAATGTGTGATCCATCATTAAAAGAGATGTATCTGAAAATGGAAAACAATACTCATGTAAAGACGTTCTCTAGGAAGCAATAAATAATTCTGCCAATTAAAACTGTAGAAACGTTAACATAGCCAATAGGTGAAAGCATGATAAATGTTATAGAATGTCAAAGAGCCCATATTAACATGTAAAATAATAATTTATTATAGAAATAAACTAGCACCTCCAAAACAATGTTTATCGATATATTTTAACGTGAATAGATCGTATGTAATGGAAACCGTACGATGTATTGTTCATATAAATATATCCAAAAAGTTCTACCACTATCGGTCGGTTAACAATTCCGCTGCTGTTGACGTACCTTTACTAATATGATATTGCTTGTTGTCGGTGGATATATTGATTTTCAAGACGACGTGAAATGGCTGTCCTTAGCACTTAGTGTCATAAACTAACTAGCGTTTCGTACTGTGTTCAAACCAGAGCAGACATATAGAAAGGTACAATACAACCGGTTTTGTGACATATTGTTATTATATTATGCACTGGGGGGGGGGGTTGATTAGCTTAGTCTGAATTGCCGATAATATTACCGAAGACAAAATGACGACGCTCATGAAAAACTCCTGTGATCGACTTTGTAGTCATTTATTTCCAGTAAAATCATAAAGAGAAACGTGCAAGTTGAGCGAAAAAGTACACGGAATCTTATTTCTCAACAGTAATTAATACTGATAAATGTAGAGCTATACTAGATGAAACTGACGTTGGGCTTATGATTGGCCCTTCTTAGTAATAGTCAAAAAAGTTAAAATACAACAGTGGGGAAGGGGAGTAATGTTTTCGACTAGTAAATGTATCAGTAAAGTTATCTTATGTCTTTTCAAAGTTGGCAAATTTTTTATTTTTCCCAAAATGGGCCAGCACAGTCATGCAACAATGCTATAAAAATGCAGCAGTGAATATGTTAATACCAATTTTATAGTGAAAACATTGAGTTTGAATGATAAAGTTTGATATAATATAGATGAGCAGACTGCGGATAACAAATATTACCTGACAGAGATTAAATAGATAGATAGATAGATAGATAGATAGATAGATAGATAGATAGATAGATACTGACACTGATAGATTAACTAATGATTTGCTTGGTTACGAACTCTGCATAAACGCATAACTGACATGAATTTGGCATTTGTTGACAAAAAGAGTGAAAATAAACAATTTCCCATCTAAAGGTTCGCATCATAGTAATTGATGACGTGGAAGAGAGATAAATGCGAAAAGAAAGGACAAAAGTGTCCGAGGAAATGGTAGAAGTTGCAGTGTCAATGGTCGTTTTAATGTTTGCAAAGGTTTTATGAAGAAAAGATAAAACAGAACAAACTACAACGATTGATAAAGAAAAATCGGTTGAAAGGAATGATGTATGGATGATGGTTAGAAACGAAATTGAAAAAGTGGATGAGATAGGATAGTAATGGTAAAAAGCCTTAAAACAAAAAGTGAGAGAGACTTAGAAAGAAATGGTCACGATAGAGGAAGAGAACAAAGAAAAGAAGAAACGCGTGAAGACAAAAAAGAGAAGTGAACCAGAAGAGTGAGGATCAAATAAAGAGAATGGATGGTAAGAGAAAAGAAAGTGTTAATAAAAAAAGAAATGAAAAGAAATTAAAAAATAATTTATCTACTGGCTACAGAGTTGGAAGAGTAGCAAGAAAGAAGAATTTTGATAATCCTGAAGTAGTTTGGTACAAGGTCAAATAAGGATAAATGAGGGGTAAGAAAACTATGCCACCAATCTTACAAGTGGTAGCGAACTACTTGTCTTGAAAATTAATATTTAAGATCTTGTCCATGTCAGACACAAATACACAAAAACCGTAAGAATAAAGTTTAGTTGTCAAGGAACAAATAAAAAAAATGAATGCAAAAACTTTAAAAAAAAAAAAAAATAAATAACAGGACGTCAAAAAAGACGCCTTGAGCCTAAATTTTTCTGAGATGATGTTCCATGTTTGACATCTTGAAATAAAGTTTTTAATATACGTAGTTCTCTTTCTTGCATTGTGGCAACGAGATGCATTTATTCGTTATCTGTAAGGGGAGGGAAAAAATAGAAAGAGTTAAAAGAGAAAATTCGTGGAAAAGAATTTAAAATCAAAAAGCGCCTCCATAATTTATTATGGGGGCGCTTTTTTGATTTTAAATTCGATAGAAAAAATAAGTATATATCGATCTCAGTCCGTCCAACTCTCTCTCTCTCTTTATCTATCTATCTATCTATCTATCTATCTATACATTTTACTATATTCATATCTATCTTCAGTTTATATCTATCTCTAGTGATCGTATAAGAGATGATTTAAGTTGTGAAATAGTGATTTGCTACAAACGTCCGAAGCAACGTCGAGCATGGTCAGCACCTAGATAGGTGACTGCTTGGGAATATTGGAAGCTATAATCTTGGATTTATAGATGGTGTAATCGATAACGCTTCGGAATGAGAAGCCGGAGTGTTGAGTTCAATTTACAGTAAGGTTCGTTATATTCATTTATGCGCAAATATATTTGGGCGATCATCAGTCGAAAAGAGACATGATCGACCAAGCGTGTTACATTTACCCCCACTAGAAACACGCATTGGGCCAGCGCTGCAGAGTAATTTCCCATTCCTCCCCATGAATCTAGAGAAGGCCTACGCCCAACAAAGGAATTTCATAGGCTGAGAAGGAAGGATTTGCTATATAGAAGAAAAAGAAATATACAATTCAGGAAAAAAGAAAAGAAGGTGGGTGATAATTCTGAGAGAGGTTAAAGCGAGAAAAATTATTCTAATCGAAAAAAAATGGTCGGGAAGACATAAAATTTGAGGCAAGAAAAGTGACAAGTATGAAGAGGAAATAAAAAAAGAAACGGTAAAAAGGAGAAATCACGTAGAAGAAATGAAAAAAAAAAGAATGAAATTAATTAAAATAAAAGGATAATTAAATTTTGGATCATAAAAAAGAAAAAAATATCAAGAGCTTCAAAGACGACAAAGAAAGACATGTAAAAGAAAGAAATAAGAAATCATATACTTGCCTGGTGGCTGAAGTAGTTTCGTAATTCACACTAGTCCAAGTGGTCGGATAATCGATTCCAGTTACTAATTTTTCAAATTCCTTCCAGTTGAAAGATACAATACACAGGCTTTCTACCCAACATTCTCAGAATGATGATTAAAAATGGATTTGCGGCTGTGGAAACGGGGTTGTCCTTCGTCGGATCGAGTAAACTCAGGCTACAGAATCATAAAGAAAGAACTGTACCAAATAACAGAAACGACTTTAATTGAAGACGTCCAACAGCAGCAACAACTAAACTGGATAGCACATGCAACTCGAAGAAGTCAAAATGTTGATATTTCGCACTACTTTAAACAAATGGTTAGGAAGGAAATCCTCCTCAATATTAAAAAGAGCTATAACAGTTAGCTTGACAAACGAATTTTCTTTAAAACTGTTTTAAGATTTTATAAATTTCATCCGATACGAATTCTAAAAGTTCGGTCATGAATGCCGAACGTTTCTTTATAAGGGAACGGCAGATTTTACAATAAGCATTAGCATTTCTTTAGAAAGATCTTACAATACTCATTAACATTTGTTCAATTGTTTCTTGGGTGTAGTATGCAAAGTTTTATAAATTGAAACAAAAATAACAAGAACAAAGAAATAGAAACACGTTCAGCAGACGTTTAATTTTCGTCGTTTTTATCCATCTTTTTGAAGTTTCAGCCTTTTTCCGATATCAGGAGGGTAGACCGATTTTCATTGTTTATACTCATTTCACTGAGGTGTTTCCGTTTTAAAGATGTATTGCAAGAAAGTACATGTTGATATTCATTGTTTTTATCCATTTGCCTGAAGTGTTTACCTTGTCCTGATGCCTTTCCGAAAGGTCGACTTTGATTTTCGTCGTTTTTTTTTTACCAATTGCCTGAAGTATTTTCCGTTTCACGATGAATTTCAAGAGGATATAGGTGAATTTTCATCATTTTTATCTATTCGTCTGAAATATTTGCCATTTCTGGATACTTTGCTTTTCGGTAGATTTTTTTATCGTTTTTGTCCATTTCTCTGAAGTGTTTGCAATTTTCGATGCATTGCAAGCAGCAAGACGTTGATTTTCATCGTTTTCATACATTTGTCTGAATTGTTTGCCTTTACACGCTCCATTGAAAAATTGCTTATCATTACTTTTATCCATTTGTCTGAAGTGTTTGACTGTTAACGACGTATTGCAACTAAGAAGACGCCAATTTTCATATTTTTATCCATTTGTCTGAAATGTTTGCCTGTTCCCAGATGCATTACAATAAAGTAGACTGATTGTCATCGTTTTCATCCATTTGTCTGAATTGTTTTCCTGTTCCCTGATGCATTACAATAAAGTAGACTGATTGTCATCGTATTCATCCATTTGTCTGAATTGTTTGCCAGTTTCCTGATTCGTTACAAAAATGTAGGCTGATTGTCATCGTTTTCATCCATTTGTCTGAATTGTTTACCTGTTCCCTGATTAATTACAATAAAGTAGTGAGATTGTCATGGTTTTCATCAATTTGTCGGAATTGTTTGCCTGATCTCTGAAGCATTACAATAACGTTGGCTGATTGACATCGTTTACATTCATTTGTCTGAATTGTTTGCTTGTTTCCTGATCCGTTACAATAAAGTAGACTGATTGTCATCCATTTGTCTGAATTGTTTCCCTGTTTCCTGATTCCTTACAAAAACCTAGTCTGATTATCATCGTTTTCATCCATTTGTCTGAATTGTTTACCTGTACCCTGATTCATTACAATAAAGTAGACTTATTGTCGTCGTTTTCATCCATTTGACGGAATTGTTTGCCTGTTCCCTGATGCATTACAATAAAGTAGACTGATTGTCATCATTTTTATCCATTTGTCTGAATTGTTTGCTTGTCTCCTGATGTATTACAATAAAGTAGACTGATTGTCATCGTTTTCATCCATTTGTCTGAATTGTTTGCCCGTCCCCTGATCAATTACAATGAAGTACACTGATTGTCATCGATTACATCCATTTGTCTGAATTGTTTGCCTGTTCCCTGATGCATTACAATAAAGTAGACTGTCATCGTTTTCATCCATTTGTCTGAATTGTTTGCCTGTTACCTGATGCATTACGATGAAGTAGTCTGATTGTCATCGTTGTCATCGATTTGTCTGAATTGTTTGCCAGTTCACATATGCATTACAATAAAGTAGACTGATTTTCATCACTTTCATCGATTTGTCTGAAATGTTTGCCTGTTCCCTGACGAATTACAATAAAGTAGACTGATTGTCATCGTTTACATCCATTTGTCTGAATTTTTCGCTTATTCCCTGATGCATTACAATAAAGTAGACTGATAGTCATCGCATTCATCCATTTGTATGAATTGTTTGCTTATTCCCTGATGCATTACAATAAAGTAGACAGACTGTCATCTTTTTCATCCATTTGTCTGAATTGTTTCCCTGTTCACTGATGCATTACAATAAAGTAAACTGATAGTCATCGCATTCATCCATTTGTCTGAATTGTTTGCCTGTTCCCATATGGATTACAATAAAGTAGACTGATTGCCATCGTATTCATCCATTTGTCTGAATTTTTTGCCTTTTCACTGATACATTACAATAAAGTAGACTGATTGTCATCGTTTTTATCCATTTGTCTGAATTGTTTGCTTGTTCCCTGATGTATTACAATAAAGTAGACAGATTGCCATCGTTTTCATCCATTTGTCTGAATTGTTTGCCTGTTCCCATATGCATTACAATAAATTAGACTGATTGTCATCGTTTTCATCCATTTGTCTGAATTGCTTGCCTGTTCCCACATGCATTACAATAAAGTAGAGTAATTGCCATCATTTTCATCCATTAGTCTGAATTTTTTGCTTGTTCCCTGATTTATTACAATAAAGTAAATGATTGTCATCGTTTTCATCCATTTGTCTGAATTGTTTACCTGTTCCCTGACGCATTACAATAAATTAGACTGATTGTCATCATTTTTATCCATTTGTCTGAATTGGTTGCTTGTCTCCTGATGTATTACAATAAAGTAGACTGATTGTCATCGTTTTCATCCATTTGTCTGAATTGTTTGCCTGTCCCCTGATGCATTACAATAAAGTAGAATGTCATCGTTTTCATCCATTTGTCTGAATT